AGTTTTCCCTCCATTACCTTACACATTTCCCTTTAATATTTCTCCATTTCCTGGTATATTTCCCTTCACTTCCTGGTACATATCCCTATAATTTCGCCTCATATCTGTGATATTTCCTGATTTAACAATATTGCAACGGCTCCTCTCAAAAACTTCAACAATGTTGCAAAGTCGAGTCGATTTTTCGGATCTTGTCACATTTTGCCGAACTTCTAGAGTTGCCACTTTATTTTACTTTTAAGCCCTGCAACTTTGTTGCAATTTTGGACGGTGTAACCACCAAAATTTTCAACATTGTTGCAAACAGCTCTCCACAAAATTCAACAGTCGCAAATTCAACAATGTTGCAAATCGCTCCCCGTGAAAATATAACAAAGTTGCAAGTTCAAGAATGTTGCAAATCGTTCCGTGCAAGAATTCAACAAGGTTGCAAAGTTCGACAATGTTGCAAATCGCTCGATGTTGAACTTGCAACTTTGTTGAATTCTGCGGGGAGCTATTTGCAACTTTTTGTTGAACTGGCAACTTTGCTGAAATCCGCAAGGGGCGATTTGCAACTTTGTTGAATTTCGTGGAAAGCGATTGCAACTTTGTTGAATTCCGCGGGGAGCGATTTGCAACTTTGTTAAACTTGCAACTTTGTCGAACGCCCGCGGGAGTGATTTGCAACTTTGTTAAACTTGCAACTTTGTTGAACGCCCTGGGGGGGCGATTTGCAACTTTGTTGAACTAGCAACTTTGCTGAAATCCACGGGGGCGATTTGCAACTTTGTTGAATTCCGTGGAGAGCGATTGCAACTTTGTTGAACTCCGCGGGGAGCGATTTGCAACTTTGTTGGACTTGCATCTTTGAGCAGCGTCAACTTGAACAATGTTGCAAATCGTCCCGCTCGAAATTGGGATAGGAAATGTCGGATTTTTACTCCTGGTATCAGAAGAGCATGAGTTTCGATGATGTGGGTCAATTTTTAATTTTATCTTGAAACTTACCTAATTGTATCAGGTGTCCATAGGTGTTAGTAGATGTTTCATGGTGTTAGGGGGTGTCAGGATATGTTAGTAATTGTTAGGCGTTGTTAGGAGATGTTAGGAGATATTAGGAGATGTTAGGAGAACTTAGGAGAACTTAGGAGAACTTAGGAGAACTTAGGAGAACTTAGGAGATGTTAGAATTTGTTAGAAAGTGTCAGGAAGTGTTAGAAGGTGTTGGGAGGTGTCAAGAAACGTCAGAAAGTGTTAGGAGTTGTAAGATGTTGTTAGAACATATTTCGGAAAAGTTAGTTGTAAGCCATTGGTGACTAATGCTGCCCGAATGAAAAGTTAGCGGAAAGTTACTGTCAGTTTCTGGTGATTGAGGCGCCCTGAACGATAAGTGAACGAAATGTTAGATGTCATCAAGTAGGCGCAAGGATGCCCCTTTCATGCGGCAACCTACGCTAGCCGGTTTGTCGGTTCGGTTGTCATCTCGTAGGTGCAGGGATGCTCCTGTTATGCGGCAACTATTGGTAGGTTTTTTGACGATTTGGTTGTCATCTCGTTAGTGGTGATATTAGAATCAAGTTAGTGGTACCTTGCCACATACTCGTTTCCATGACAACTACGTAGGATAAAATAATACTTAAAAAAACTAATTGGTTCTATAATTGTATCAATTACTGTTGTTTTTAGACAAAAACGTAATCAAGTAATAATTTAAGAATTTCATTATAGAAAATATATCGTTATTAATACTTTCTGTATTTGATGTTTGTTTCGGCTATTACACTCGGGAAAGAACCATCCTAAAGATACAAGCTTCTTCTTATTTTGTTTTAATTATGAGAGATGAATTCTTCCGAATGAATTTTGTTGGAATTGCAAATATAATAGAAATGATACGAATATTTCTTGTGGGAAATTAAACTGTCTGATCAGATCACAAAGCTAGCGATCATTTTTACATTGCAAAAATTATTCTTGCAATTTAAACAATATTCCTCCCAAGAGATTCACACTCTTCGATGAAAAGAAAAAAAAGAACAACTAATATATTTAATCCTTTAACCTATAATACGTGTGAGACTCTATGATATACATAGTATTTGGATCCGAACATGAAAAGCACGTGTGGAAAGACGCAAGGAATTTTATACCTGATTATGGCACGCACGATCCTACAGTAAATCGTAGGCCAAAGGGTTAATAAATCCTCTCAAACTAGCAACTTTTATAAATTTAAGTAATTTCAGCTATTTGAATACGTCCTCAAAGTATAAGCGATTTAAGAATTGAAACGCACACGAATACCGACGCGAGTTACAGCAAAGTGCGTAAAAACAACGTGAATTTTCTGGTTCCCGTGGAACACAGGAATTTACCTAATCGCCAGCCAATTATCTTGGGTGAAAGGATGAGGAACGAGCGTACGCTTAAGAGATTGGTTGGCCCGAATAAAACACCCCCTTAATCCAACCCGGTTCGAAATTGCGTCCCGGCTCCATTTTGAGACTCATAATTTCGATTTCACGCCTCGTTTTCCCTGGCTATAACGTGTTTCAAACTTGAACGATGAAAATTAAAAGATGCTTGAGAAAAATTTAAAAAAAAAGTGTAATGGAAATAATATAAAACAGCCTTAAGAATTTATATTACCGAAAATTGACAAAGGTGTCAGCCCTTTATTGGTATCACAATGACTTCGATAATAATGAAATAGGAATAGAATAAGATCTGCTCTCACAGAGAGACCAGTGGGCCCCGAAAGATATGTAAAGGAATGGAATGTAAGAAGTTCAGAAATAATTGATGTAAAACAATGTAAATGTGATGTAGAAAAAAACACATGTGCAAGCCTGGTGATATGTAACAAGCAAGACTGAACCAGTAGATGCAATATTCAATATGAAACAAATTATATACCTTTATAAAATAAAGAAACAAATAAAGAAACATAAGATCAAATTAAGTGAAATATTCATTTACATTTTATTCTCCCTTCTCTGATTAGACTGTCCCTTTCCTCTCGACTTTCATTATTATTGCCAGGTTTTCCAAGGGATTGGAGTCAACGTTTAACCCGACATTCCCGAACAAAGATCGTAAAGAGGGCTTCCCTTTCAGAGGCTTACAGTTACTTTAACTTACAACAGAATTAATGTTAATGTAACATTACTTTTCAATCCCCCATAAACGAAACTGTTTCGATTCGTTTCACTTCTCCTCTGAAGCGATTGAAGTCTCGATTAAATTCTCAGAGCAAAGCTATCGATCCAAGAAAACTCACGTTATTTTCCTTCCTGGCGGATTTATCACCTGACGCGAATTGTCCCGATCGATCGCTCGAAATTTATGGAATTCTCTCGAGTTACGTTTCATAGAATCGCTGACCAACCATGCCAAGAACTTTTTCCCATGAATATGAGACCTTCCTAATATTTGTCGAAAGTGAACAATTTCTAGACGATACACGTCTGTGAGAGTGAAGGATTAATGAGTACTCGATCGACGTGGAATAGAAAAGTTGTAACAGATATACGTAATCATAAATATTGGACTAATACCGAAATTGGCTGTTTCCAAACAAGATACGAATTCGAACAATTTTATTCCGTTAAATAATGGTTTTGTATCCATAGATAATTATACGTGACGCAGTCGTTAACACCCGAAACGTTGACTGCGGCGTTTGAATTCGTGTTTGTTACCACGCGGCGGAAGGAACGGAAAGAACGGCGGGCAGCAACAATAGAGGTTGAGAAGCAAGACGGCGGAAAACACACTTTTTCTTTCAGTCTTGGAAAAGTAAACAGACCGAGAAAGTAAACAGACGGACTAACGATGAGCCCATATAGCAAGTTTCAAGTCGAAACATCGAAAATTCAAGAGTGGGGAGCGTTCTAAAAGGAACAAGGATGAAACGCACACCGTGCGTCCGCTCCCGCTGTATCGAGAATTACAGAATGCACACCGTGCGTCCTCCGCAGTCAACGTGTTAATGAAACTAA